AGAAATTATATTAGAAAAAGAAAAATGCAGAGGTACAGAGGATTCGACAGGAAATGATCAAGCGTATGATCTTGTAAGATCGTATAAAATCTTGTGACTTCTTATAAGGTCGTATAATTTCTTATACTTTCTTTGTGTAAGATCTTATAAGATCAAACAAGATCTTGTACATTTTTATGATAAGAAAAATCTTGTAAAATCCTATAAGAATCTTGCTACAAGATGTCATATGAAATCTTGTAAGATCTTATAGGAAATTGATAAGAATTGATAAGATCTTTTCAAATCTTACGATTTCTTATTATACGATCACCCAAGATCGTATATGATCGTGTAAGATCTTCCAAGATCTTGTTATCTAATCCTTGGACCTGGACATGGCCAAGACCATACTAAACTGCTGATGGCTGGCCATCCATCCATATTCGACTGGGAGGACGGAACCGTGCCTAATACTCGCAAGAACCATCACTCGATGTGATACTGCTGTTCATCTTCGAGAGTGAGTATCAACCTTGCCATTCTCCCCACTTCACATTTCAGAGGCTCTCTTCATATAAGAGAGACCAAGAATTCAAACTCTTGATAATGCATATTTGTTGTAGACGTGACACAATTTCAATCGCTTGCGAATGAAGTGATCCTTGAAATCTTTGAATATTTCCATACTTATGATATTCTCCACTCATTCCTCGGATTAAACGATCGTTTCGATGGACTACTTGGCAGCTTACAGTTTGATCTGAACCTTCAATGCATCAGCAAATCCAGATGTGACTTTATCTCCGAACACTTTCCATCAACAGCACAAATTCGTTCTCTGCGTCTGCCTAAAGACACCTCCGATTATGTTGACTTGTTCTTCACCCACTTTCTCAACAACACATTGGCAAATCTTCGCTCTTTATCCTTGTTCCAAATCAAAGCAGAACAAATGATCAAAGTGGTGTTGCCGCACTTCTCTTGTATGACACAACTGTCGTCACTAACACTGATTATAGAATTCAGCGACCGCAAGCACACGACGGCTCGTAATTCTTTTGAAGAAGCCACTGCCATTTGCCTAATTGCAAACGATTTGACCGTAAACAAGACTCTCACTCACCTTTATCTTGCGGAGAACCAAATATCCAAGAGAGAAGGTGAAGCACTAGCAGAAGCACTGAAAGTAAACAACACTCTCACTCAACTTGATCTTATGGGCAACCGAATATCCGATAGAGGAGGTGAAGCACTAGCAGAAGCATTGAAAGTAAACAACACTCTCACTAAACTTGTTCTTAATAACAACCAAATATCCAATAGAGGAGGTGAAGCACTAGCAGAAGCACTGAAAGTAAACAACACTCTCACTCAACTTGATCTTAGACACAACCGAATATCCGAGAGAGGAGGTGAAGCGCTAGGAGAAGCGCTGAAAGTAAACAACACTCTCACTCAACTTGATCTTATGGGCAACCGAATATCCAATAGAGGAGGTGAAGCACTAGCAGAAGCATTGAAAGTAAACAACACTCTCACTAAACTTAATCTTGCGTGGAACCAAATATCCAATAGAGGAGGTGAAGCACTAGCAGAAGCACTGAAAGTAAAAAACACTCTCACTCAACTTGATCTTAGACACAACCGAATATCTGAGAGAGGAGGTGAAGCACTAGCAAAAGCACTGAAAGTAAACAACACTCTCACTAAGCTTGATCTTAGATGCAACGGAATATCCGAGAGAGGAGGTGAAGCGCTAGGAGAAGCGCTGAAAGTAAACAACACTCTCACTAAACTTGATCTTAGACACAACCGAATATCCGATAGAGGAGGTGAAGCACTAGCAGAAGCACTAAAAGTAAACAACACTCTCACTCAACTTGATCTTATGGACAACCGAATATCCGATAGAGGAGGTGAAGCACTAGCAGAAGCACTGAAAGTAAACAACACTCTCACTAAACTTAATCTTACGTGGAACCAAATATCCAATAGAGGAGGTGAAGCACTAGCAGAAGCACTTAAAGTAAACAACACTCTCACTCTACTTAATCTTGCGAGCAACCGAATATCCAATAGAGGAGGTGAAGCACTAGCAAAAGCACTGAAAGTAAACAACACTCTCACTGAAGTTGATCTTACTTAATATCCAGTAGAGTAGGTGAAGCACTGAGAGAGTCGTTGCAAGAAGATGGAATAGTCGTTCTCTAGTATACTTCTCCCATGTGCTTAAAATCGCTTCATTTTTGTCGATTAATCACGATGGTTGAAAAAATCGACGCTCAGTCGCGATTCGGGAAAAAATGGTCATGTAATCGCGATTAAGTGATAATTTTTTCGTGCATCGCGATTAATCGATGACTTTGTCAACCATCGCGCTCATTAATTAATTGTTGATTTTAAGTGATAAAATGGCTGTTGTTAATCACCGTTTTCTTTTGCAATGAAGTTTGTATATAAGAAACATGATTTCAGCGAAAAATACACTTATATTCAGATCATCTTTTTATTTTAGAATACAACGGAGTTGTCAAGAGTCTTCTCTATTGTTCCTCAGAACTTTAAACCGAGAAGCCCACTGAATAGCTGGTATGTGGGCAATGTTTAAGCTAACTCGTCGGGAAGACTCCGACGCCAATTGGCGCTAAGACCATTGCTGTGTAACGCACATGTCATTATAAGTAATAAACGATGAAAAAACAGACAAAAATATGTATTTCCTAACGTTTGAGCCCTGGCACTACCCTGTGAAAAATTGTTGTACCCTCCCCCTACCCTACCCTGTGGCACCGGAGCCCTGGCCCTACCTTGACCCTGTTGCTTCAGGTGATCTTCGACCGTGGCCCTACGCTGTTGCTTCAGGTGGTGTTAGAGTCCTTCAAGCTGTACCGTGTGACTTCAGATGACATTAGAGCCCTGGCCCTACCCTACCCTAGGGTAGGGTAGGGTGGGGTAAGGGCGACATCTCTAGTTCGAACCTAGTACCTAGAAAAAAATCGTCAATTAATTGCGATTAATCGCTAAGATCGCCTAGAAATCACCATAAAATCGGCAATTAATCGCGATTAAGCGCACGATTAATCGTATGATTTTTCACGATTAATTGTCGATTTTTATGCGATTTTTAGTACATGGGCTGTGACGATTTTTCAAAATTTTGCTGCGAAATTTTTGAATTAGTCGTCACCTGAACGAAATGAATGTATGCACTTGAAATGTTCATGTCCGAATGGATAAAACGCTTTTTCTTCGTTATTGATCCCAAATTTCTCTTTCTGTGTCTTCTCCATTCCCCTTGTTGTCACATTTTAAAACGATTGGCTAAATTTCTGCCCGCTTACGACTATAAATAGGAAGCATGTGCTAGAAAAATATGCTTATTTTTTACGCTCGCACATGTGACTATCTTGCTATCATTTGTACGCCAATCAATGGCTTCAATCACTTCTTCTTCTACAACGGCACTGCCGGATAATTCTGAAAAGCGGTTTTTGGATGACATTGATACTTATATTAATTCAAAAAGTGAGAAATTTCGAGAAAAGTACGTTATCAAGAAAACTACCTAAGAAAATATTATTAAAGCGTTGTCGCTCGAAAAAGGCAGGAAAACTTCCTCCCTTTCAGCCTCATTCGTTTTCTGGGAAAAGAAAAATTTTGAAATGAAGAAAATAGGTGATGTCGGTGTTCTCTATTGTTCGTCACGTAACAAACCCGGTTGCTGTGTATGGGTCATTTTTCATATAATCGGGAAATGTCATCAAGCAGTTTCAC